CTCCATCTTGTAATTAGACCATGAGGTTTTAAACATGTACGGGTACTACTAACTTGACATATACTGATGATATGTTATAATGAGCTCGATGCCATGAAACTGGTAGCCTGAGTTAAGTTCTGTAGAGGTACACGCAAAAGCAAGTACGAACCACTCGAAACGCTGTGTGGTTTTGGCCCAGTGCAACCTTCGTTTAGTGTCCTATGGGCAAAAACAGATAATCATCAAGGACGATGTCACTGTTTTTAATGGTTCTTAGCAATTTTTAAAACAAAGTTGATACAAGTGCTTAGCAAGATCTTATTTCCGTAACTAGAACTGGAAATCATTTGGTCAGACACGCCAATGCTGACGTATTATGAAATTTGGACATGAGGTAGGCCTAATTAGAAAAGTGACGTGTCACGTGTGAGAATTTGAGTCCATGTAAGGTAAAAGAGACCACATTTCTATAGGAGTCCAAATTTCATGTGACAACGGGTTGTTAGCTTGTCTGGACAATGATGCAGACATAATTCGTGAAGTTAAAAACAAATGCTTAGGCCTTTCTAGCTTTTAAAGAACTGTTTGGTATAAAAACTGTTTGGCTGTTTTTTGTTTTTTTAGTCTATTTATTTATTTATGTTTTTAATATTATTATTATTTTTTTTAAAATATTTTTAATACTTAGATACACCTTTAATGTAATTTCACCATGCTTGATCATGTGCTATAAATCGCTCAGCGAGATCATTATCCCAAAAGCAAGTAAACCGTTAAATATATCTCGACCATCTTTTGTTTCAGTTTGCGATGTTTGTTCATGTATTATCTCATTTAGGACCTAGAATTGACTGAAACGACTCACGAATTTTCTCTACGGACCAAGCTTCAAGTTTTTACGTGCCGTCATCGCACGCGAACATAATTCTCTTTGGATTCCCCGTTTGTAAAACGTCAGTCTGGCGCGTGCGGTTGATTTAATCAATTCCACACGGCCTAATGAACAGTCGCGTATAAGCATAGCAGTGTCTGCAGACGAGTGAGTGCCGTTGACTTGCTGTATAATTGGTCTGCCCGCAAATGAGTCATTAAGGTTTTGTTATACCAAGTGAACATCAAACCTTCAAAGGTAACGCGATCTTGCCATTAGTCTGGATTATGATCTTTCTGCGTGACAAATTAGATCTTGGATCCTGGACAGCAATCCTCCTTAATACTCCATATGGAGTTTTAACTTAAAGTATGGGCTCTCTTGCAGGAAACTGGAGGAATGCCAAAGTGTATACACATTTACATGGCACCAGTAATTGTGTTATCTGCAATTTAAGAAAACCTTGAAATCATCCAATTGCAGGATGAGTTTACATCCCTGTGACGGGTGCCAAGCTGATTTATTTTCAGGAAATCAATTTGCTTGGTAATGTTTTGTATTTGGTTCCATCACACTGCCCAAGTTACAGCAATCGTTGCCGTAAAGAATTAATCAGAAATGCTCCCACAAATTAAAATAACTTGAACAACCAACACCCTTTGGTCTCTGCGTCACGTCTTTACGGTGTTTACGCAACGTGCCATAGTATTTCTTGTCATGATTATTACAATGAAGCACATGCCCAGGTGTATTCAGATTTCCAACAGAGGTGTCAGCAACAGAGTGAGGTTGTACCTCGCACTGGCTGCGATTTTTAGAACGCGAGGTGGGAGGTTTTACACCTCGCGACGTGAGGTGATGAGGATCACACGTGTAGCGTACGTGAGGTGTTTTACGGAGTGCCTCACGAGACTTTGAGCCGAGTCTCTCATACGCAGAAAAGCGAGACATCATTGGAAATGAGATGGTTTTATTTCCCGTGAGGTTTGTCTGAGTGATTGTACAAACTGAAATTGAGGAAAATGGGTCCTCTGAGGTTCACAGAGTGAAAGCTTTTAATTAGAAGAACGTGGCTATAACCCCACGCTATTAATAATAGAGAATATTCAATGAAATTTTAACTAAAAGTACGACGTGAAAATAGCCACGATTCTTACAATTTGTAAAACAATGGGTCGTTCTGTAAAGTTAGGTTCCAATGTGATATTTTTTTCCGTCCTGTTACCTTGGTATTTGTAAACTGCCTTTCAAATATCACTAAGAATGGCTTCAAATGACTTCAAACAATGCCATCTTTGACATTGTTTTCTTTACTCTGCCCTTTAGAATAATAAATTCCATTTAATTTCAAGGCCCACCGGTTTCGAAATTAGTTTGTCGTTGTAAATTTTGGCGTTGAAACTAAAATGGGGTGATGGAAATTGACATTTTCAAATTAGGGTTGAATTATGCTGAAATGGGTTTGGAGTAAAAACATAGAGTTCTAACCGACAAAAGCAATTTTCATTTAGAATGTGCACAACGTAAAATTCTAACTAGATAATTTGCCAATTTGTGTGAAATATACAAAAGGACGGCAGAGTGAAATAGGTCTCATCACAAAATGGAGAGACACGGAAATGTATTTTTGGCTTCCTGGCTTTTCAGCGACAAAAACACATTTGTACCCCTTTATTAATTGGTTCATTATAACCAGTTGGCGAGGTCACTGTCATTACTATAACGATAACCTCATTATTGTCTGCTTCGATCATTGCAAGCAATCAATTACCTTTGGTGGGGACTCTTTTTTTTCATATACCTGGCAGCAATTCTTTTGCATACTGCCGAGGTTGTCCTGCATACATTACTAGAATTCATGCGGCCAGGCATGTAATTTTTTAAGTGAGCCAACTCATCCTTCAAGCTTTATGAGACAGAAATTGATTTTTTTTTCGTTCTGGGTACATGGAAGGCTTTTATTGGTATCAAGGCGAAAATCCTCTACAGCTATTTGGCGTATTCACCGACAGAAAGGGCGAACTTATTAATGTATCATTGAAAACCAGAAATTTATATTTTTGCAAGAACACATTAGTTGTAAAAGGTCCCTTCTGACAGAAGTAGCCTAAGCATGTGCAACGGTCTGTTTGATGAATAGTGTATTTTCTGACTGAGTGAGATGGAAATTGAGATTTTTTATATGTGTGTGTGAAGAAAACCTACATTACATGGTAATTAAATCTACATTTAGAAAATAATGCAAACCGATTACAAAGTGACGTGGAAAAAAAATCCCAAATTCCAATCAATGGATCACTCGTACAGCCAATGGTGAAAGACAGAGGAGTCCGCGGCTAGACTCATTAACGTTTGGTATCTAGACTTCCGTCTCAAAAGTGAATGGGAAATTGCATGATTTGCATGATTTAGAAAATACAAGTGACAGTCGAGAGACCGACTGGCCAACCAATATAAACGCTAATTGAGAGGTTACTGTCCAGGGGGATTTTTCAACAAAACGAAATGCTTTTACCGTACGTTGCTAATGAAAACGGATTCTATTGGGGATAAAAAATCATATCAAACTCACTCCATATCACAGAATTAAGGCGCTATACACGCAGCCGTGTTTCCTTGTTTCGCGAAACACGCATTGTGCTGACGATGAAAGACGCTCAATTAATAATTGCTCAAACCGCGGCGCATGTTAATAGAAAAATTCCTAGAACTTCCTCCCAACTGCACAAATAAAGGCTTTACATGACACTTTACAATTTAACCTTGTGCGTCTATTTTTATATTATTCCAGTAACATTTCGGTGTCTTCACCCAGAAATGATTTCCATGCGCCCAATTCGATATAATGCTGGTTGCAGTTCGGTTAATTTGATTCAAAGGCGCCAATTCATACAACATTCTTGTTTCCTTTTTTTCAAATTTGACAAAGGCCCAGCAGCATTTGTGCTTACATGAATGATGAAAAAGCTTCACAATGGAATGCCAAGGAAGAAATTATTATAATTTTATTCCGATAGTCTCCTCTATAACACACAACATCTTTCATTTAAAAAAAACTAGTTCAGCCTCTGTGTAAAACATTGCACATTTATTTGGTTTAACAAAGCAAAAAATTAAAACATTCCCAAATTATCCTTAGCGAAATATCGCACAGGAGCAATGGGACAAAGGAAGGGGGAAAGGTAGGTGGGTTTTCTACAATTGTCGGGATCTCTTTTTCACTACTTCAACATTGGAATGATTTCTCTGCTTCTGTAAAAAAAACACTACGTTTTTCCTTTATTTTTGAACGCCTTCAAAGGGCGCATTCAATGTAATTTGTTTTTAATGCAATAGTTGAAAATTCACCTTTTTGTCCCAGTTAACCTTATTTTCAATTTTCGTTTTGCCATTTTCAAGGGTATTTTGGTGCCTTTTGGGTTTTTATGCTAACTCGCATTTCCATATTCATAAGCAAACTGTGTGATGTCATTTCAGGAACAAACCTCATATCAATGTTACAGCTATTTTAGTACTCTGGTGATTCGTTGTTGTGTCAGTACATGGCAATAACCCAATGAGTAAACTTTTCTCACAAATGCTTCCAATGAACACATTTTGGGGTTCACAAGTTGAACAGAAAACCCATAAACTGAACAGTGTCTTCCTGAAATGACATCACAGCAACAGCGCGCGCTTTCAGTTGTCCGGAAAAGCAGGGAAAATGTTAAAATTTTCACATGCACTTTGCAATAAAATAAATCAAAAGTGAATGTCCAATAGTTTCCATACACTTAAGAGGAGTGGAAAGTTGCACAAAATGTATTCCTAAAAAAAAAGGTTTATGGGCCCTTTTTTTTAATGGTTCCATTTTGGTTTTCTAGTAAGTATATGTGACCTACCTACCAAAAAACAAGAGGTCGCCAGAAACGCCTTTTTACTAAAAGCTTAAATCTAGCTAATGGAATTTCGGCACAAGACAATGCGAATTGCTGATTGTTCACAACTTCCAAAGATTTGTATGTGATCAGGTTGTTCTTAGAATCAGTTTAGTACTTCAAAAAGAGTTTGATGTATGTCAAGTATTAACGGTTTAAGGTGATTGGTCGCACTACTATACTGTATGCGCCATTGCCATACAAAGCAAATCACATTTTATCTGTATATCTTTCTCAACAAATCCTGTGATCTTTATTTAGCCTATTTACTTTTTTATGGTAATTGCTACTCGAATTAAATGGCATTTATTGCGTTCTTAAAAGTACGTTTTTCTCGAAACATGAGCCAGAAAAAATTATTACAGGGGGAAATCAACGTACATTTATGCCGTATATACGTTATTTTGTGAGAAAATCATCCTGACAAAGTGATACTTAAAAGGTATATGTAACTCCTTTACAAAGCCATTTTAGTGCTTTAGTACAGCTAGAAAAAAAGAAACCACAAGGAGGCGCGCTTTGAGAGGTCAAATTTTGCATGGCAATCCCAATCCTTTAAGGATAGCTGTTGACGTTCGAACGTTTACGCGACAGTTTAAAAACAGATACACATCTTAAAAGGCATTGCTGTAGTGAAACTTTAAAACACACCTAAAAACATTACGAAAGATTTCAGTTTGCTTGCAACTACAAAATATGCCCGAATCACCGTCACTGTATGCATTATACATTACAATCCAGACACAATACGTCTTGTATAGTCCATTGTTTCTTATGGTTCGACATTCACACCTTCAATAAAACACAAGACAGCAAAGTTCTTCCACCACGTACTTTGACTTAACTCTTCAATATGTGAAAATAACATAGAAGCGAAACACGGATTTTTTTCCGCACATTTTATATGGAATCAGTGCTTGATAGCCAAGATTTTTCGTTCCAAAAATTCCAAAAATAAGACCAGGTGCGTCCTTATAATAAATAAGTAACTTCACTTACAATATATTAACATAGATGAGAATTTAACATTAATAAAAATCCCCACGTTCAGGATTGAACATCATGTTTCAGCCATCTTCAATCATAGGCAATGGTCGGCTCCTTTCGATTCCTTGGGTCCAAATTTCTTAAGTGGGAGGGGCGTGCCCCTAGGCGTGTCTCTCGAATTAACACCATTGCGGACCTGGTGGAAATGCGTGGCGCTTGTGTAGCCCCCGGTGAATTCGTCCATACGGTTGTCCGGTTCGCAACTCCTGATTGAAATGACTCCTCGCAAGATGACCTTGAATATGAGACGGTAAAAGGTGCGCCTGAATTCGCGGTTACTGAGGGTGTAGACTATCGGGTTCATGGCCGAGTTGGAATGAGAGAGAATAATTGCAATGAGGAGAATGGTATAATTCACGCCTCCTGTACAGAGGATTACAGTATTGATGATGTGAAGTGGTAACCATGAGACGGCAAATAGGATAATGACGATGGCAAGTAGTTTGGCCGCTCGTCCTTCCTTGACGGCCAGTGCCGCCAACTGGCGATTCATCTCATCGTTACTCGCCACCATGGTCCGCGAAATGGCGGCCAATTGTTTCCTGACCACGCGGAAAATCCGAACGTACACAAAGAGCATGATGAGCAGTGGCGGTAGCACTGAGCCTAGGAAGTTGAAGTACACCATGTACCTCATGTCGATGACTTCGGTGAAGACGCACGCGTAGTTCTCGCGTTCGGGTTTGCCGAGGTTCCAGCCGAACACCGGTATCATGCCGATGACGAACGCTAGTAGCCAGGTGAAGAAGATGACGATCAACGCACGACGTGCTGTGGCTACGCGCTTGTACCTCAACGGAGACACCACAGCGAAGTAACGATCCAAGGCAATAGCGAGTAGACTCAAGATGGAACTCTGCGTCAGCGTCACGACGAAGGAATTCATGAAGAGACACAGGTGGAAGCTATTCCTCGGCTCACCTGCGTTCGTCAAGAGCGCGAAGGGAATCGCTAACAGACCCACCAACAAGTCTGCAATGGCTAGGGACACTATGAAGTAATTGGTAACGTTCCTCAGACGTCTGTTGTAGTACACAGCCCAGCATACTAAGGCGTTGCCTAGGGCTGCGGCTACGGCTATTGGGATTTCGGCTGCCAGACCGACAGTGACATAAACATCACTGCCCATCTTGGAATATAATGTCGACACAAACTTGTCGAATCTAACAGGAAATGTCGACAGAGCAACCGAATGCTTTCCACAAATATGCAGTATGACTATCGCCACTAAACACGTGCTTTTGTGGTCAATAACAAGGGCGTTCTCTTGATTAACATAGACGCCCAACGATCAACAGAATACATTCGTAGTTTGCAAGAATCAATGATTCACAACACATGTAGACCGCCACACGAAGCCATGAGATCGCTTACGACTATATCCACAAAAGACTGCCTTCAATAATCCAGAGCTTGATGGAACCAACTAGTCGCACGCCCGTCTGCATTAGAAAAATCCATCGACAAAATGCCAAATTTAATCCTTCAAAAATCACGCAGGTCGCCGGTAATCGCGAAACGCTTACACATGTCGATGTCCAGTTGACCACAAACGCAGTCGCGTAAATTTGTCATAACTGTGTTGATTCATTTCGATTTAAGTCGGAGGAAAATCCACAACTGGGTTATTGTGAAGGATGGGAAACACACGCGAATGAAAGCGCAAACAATCTGTTTATCCACGCTCTTATGGAGTAATAATTTTTCACCGAAGGCATTCGTTGTCTTTGATTGTTACAAGTACCAACTCGCTCGTATACACAAGTGGTTCCGCGAACCAGAGCTGAACTTTGTATCCTAGCACTATCTGTTGTCTGACATTACAAGCGGAGCCACGCCTCCAAATATCGATCCTTGCGTCATTAAAGGTATTTCCCAGGGGCTCAGTTATCGTTTATCATCTCGTCAATGAAGACTTCGAATCATCACCTGCTACAGGGAAGATATCCCAGGGTAGTACAGAAAGGTAATTTCAGTTTTCATAAGCAGCAATTACCAAAGTCCATCCAATAAAAGGATTTCCAGGCTCTTTGGAATCAGAGGCTTATAACGGAATCATCTTTGAAGAGATATCCTCCTTGTAATGCATCCTGTCGAAGATGTAATAAAGCATTCTAGATTTAGTAACAGGTGTTTTTGTAATGTCAGCGACTTTTCTTGATGAGGAGATGCTGACCAATTACATTTTCTCCTCGTCGATGATTTCCCTGGCTTTCCAGACTAAATTGCGATCCTATTTTGAGGAGACGGTGTTTAACGTCACGTGCGAACGATCCTGGCAAGAACCAAGGTTTCCTTTTTAGAATGATGTCATCTGCATCATTTCTTCTCTCCAATTTGAGGAGCCCCTCGTTGGTTTTCCTGTGTAAGGCAGAAGGGAAAGGTTTAACGTGGATGTCTTGAAATCATACTTCAAAACCAAACCATCAAGTTTACTGCTATACGTGCACAAGGCTGTTCAATTTCACTTTCTCAGGCGATAGGCCTGCTATTTTACTCAATTTATTCACGTTTTGCAATTGGTGTGATTTCAGCTGTGGGCAATTTGATTCATTCTCCGAAGTGAAATTGGCATTTTAGTGAAGGAACAGCTTCCAGCCTGACTTTCAATTTATTGCCCACGGCTGGAGGTTATTTTACGTCTTCGGGCACTAGTTATTCAGAATCAGAGCTCGGTTCATTGCATATGGTCGCCCACCGTGCAGTACAGGCTATTATTAATTGTTTTGTTTTATTCCGGCAAACTTCTCGATTTCTACAATCATATTCAAATGAAATTTCGTTGTGCTCTTTACCTTTGTTATTCAAACAGTTTCCGTATATCGTGCCTTTGACAACATGGCTTCCATTTGTTTTCTGAGCACAATTTGCCATTTCAATGAACGGCTTTGATGCATAGCCAAATTCACGTTTACCAATCGATATGCCCAAAACAGAGAACTTTTTTTCAATCTAAGGCGATTCGGGAAACTAAGATCCCCAACTCGTTTGGTTTGACAGATTAGGCGCCTGCTGGCCGGAAATCAATCTTAGCCAAAGAACAACTTACTGAACTGGAAATTAATTTTGATTAGAGGACGGATCGCAAACGTGTTGGGGATTGGTGTGAAGCAATCACTTCTTCAGATACATCGATGATGATTGAAGAAATGTGTTCGACGCCATAGCAGTAATATTCTTTTAAAGGGTCTTAGAGTCAAGGCATACACGATTCGCGGTATTAGATCATTTTGTTCTTTCGGGTCAGTGAAATCTGCTACATTTTGTAACTGTTCATTGGAGTGTTACAAATGGGACTTCGGTATATTAACAACTACATAGCGTTGACAAAATGAAAGTGTCAACTCGAGCATGTCAATATGGCCGTCTTGTGAAGACGACCCCAGCATGGTGAGCGAAACGTTGAGGTGAGTTTTGGACTTGTAATGCTTTTGTGCTTAGACCATTTAAAATGCGCTAGAGGAATTATTCACAAGTTCAGGCAAACTGAACGACAGAAGCTGAAAAGTAATGTACCGGTGGGCTGTAAAAAATAATGGTAGGCCCGCATAAATATTGTTTTTAAATTGATTTATTATATTTTATCGGCGATGCACACGCATTTTAATGAGGTTATAGCAAGCAGAAATATGCAGATTACATTAGTCGAGGGTTTGAGTGTGATACACAAGTTCAAATTCCTTGCTTTTCAGGTCAATTTAAACTGCTTTACTTAGTATTTTGCAAAACAACGTGTAACTCAGATTGTGAAAGAAACATCAAAAGAAGTAAGCAATTGCACAACTTTTATTTCCTTATTCTTTTTTCGCGTGAGAAAGTTATCAATGATAGGAAATAAAAATAGAAAGCAACAACCCTGGATGATGATTAAAACAACACAAACGTTATTTCAACCCTTTTAAAAACAACACTGGCTTGTCTCAAGAAGAGAAAATACTCACTGATCGTGATTCCATTTTTACAGCATACAAACTTCCTTCCGCAATACTGAGTGTAGTTCCCGGAGATTGGTACACGATATGTCTGGTGATGCTATACTGCCATAAGCACTGTGTGGTCTCTATTCCTAACTTTTCATTGTCCCTCAAAAATAATGAGGTCGGTACACTTTTTCAAGACACGGAAACTCTGGAGGTTGTGTCTTTTTATGTCGGTGCTTGAAACGAAATTCCACCTGTTACGAATGTGAGTATAATATCCTCTCCCGGGCGAGTGATACTGTATGTGTCTTTCTATGATTACTATGTCTTGCACGGCGCTGTGATCAATAAAACATCGGTGTAGTGCGGAAGCGAAATGGGCGAAGTGTCCGGTTGAGCGAGTTTCGGATTTCGCCGGTGACGAGTCGGTGACGAGATTCGCTACGCTGGGACAAAAAAGCTCTCCTTCCCTCAAAGCAGAACATGAAAATTAAAACAGGCCGAGGTGGTCTCAAACACAGCTGAACATCTCGAGTATAGAAACGTGCTTGGGAATTCATAAATCAAAAAATGTACTTCACTTGAAGGTGTGAGATGAAATAATTCGTAGTGTGATGGATCATGTAGTGCTAACTCCTGTAGACCGGATCACAAATCCTGACAACCACAAAGCAACCGTTGACGCCGGAGTATAAATGAAATGATCCACAGTGCGGCAGGCCTACCGTTTGTAAGCTGGTTGTGGGCACGAGTGCCAACTTAAGCCGTACAGAAAAGATAATAGGCTTTTCCTGATATTGTTTCTGGATAACACACGCTCATAGCAATTCTGATATCGTTCAATTACGTGCAGCTGTTGTGCGTTGGTTGATAGTGGGATGAAATCTTTCTCAATAATCAGGTAGATATGCGCGTGTTGAGTTATTATTAAGTTGTCATTCCTTCTGGTTATAATCCATGTAATGTAGAGCTACTGCTGAACTAGCGTCCATGCCATGGGTTAGCGGAGTCCGTGTACAGAAGTGGGGGTGTAGCAGAGTTGTCAAGACCCGGTGATCGCAGGTCATCACCATAGCAAGTGAAATTGTTGCACTGATGAATGAAAGTGATGATTGGAAGGGCATATGGTAGTCTATCAGTTCTCACGCCAAACACGTACCACAGATGCACATACATGTACATGTAACTACATTCCATACAGAAACTCTCGTTTGTGTGGTGATCGTATACAAGTCCCGCCGTGATACATGTAGGTCTCTCAGCCACAGATGACTACGGCACGAAACTGCCCTCTCTGTTTCTTGTAATAAAGGTTAGACAAGATGGAAAGTTGCTCCAACAGTCAACAGACTTGCTGAATGATTAACCAATGGTGCTGGTGTTTCTCGGCAGTTTCACGCAAGAAATGAGCATGGACGCAGCCACTCACGTCAAAGCGCGTGTTGCATCCCCAGCACCGCCCTCAAAATGACATCAGTTATGCCAGTACCAACCTAAATCACGCGAACAGGTTGCAGTTGCAGCTTCAATCTACTCATACACGTACTGACACACAAAGTCCACCGCCTGGGGTTGTATGCAGATCTGCCCTTGAACCTGAACCAGCACGACCGCCAAATCACCGCAGGGCAGGTTTTTTTTGTTAAAGGCCACTTTTAACCTGATTAGAAAATAGGACTCGTGGCATGCAATCTGACGAGATACTTCCGCTGAACATGTGGTGGGGCATTGGTACTGGAGTCACATCATCGCGGCAGGTGGTTAGCGTAAACAAAGTTAGTTTCGTCGTTGATTCTTCCATAGAGCTATTTTAATGTCATGTATAGTCCTACTCCAGGTCTTCGTTCTCTGACGTATCGATTGGAAATCCACTGACGAGCTGAAGTAAACAAAATCGTCTCGCTCCACAAGACAGCACGTGAAAAACGGAATTAAAAGCGAAAATTGCAGCAGGTACCGGCCCGCCACGCGTCCGCGTTTGTAATGAAATGACTCCATCGGCACGCGTGGTTTTTCTCTCGCAAATTGATAACGGCAAGAATGCGCGCGCGTCGGGCCCTAGACAAGTATTGGCCAGTGTAAAATGCATCTAACAGCTCGGAAAGAGCGCCGCCACAAGATTTCTAATTATAATCGCTATATAATCCTCGGCGTGTATAATCATGGAGGAATAAGAACGAATTCCTGCATGGTATAAAAAACCCTGCTGCATCGGGAATTATTTTGAAAGAGACGTACGGGACAGAATGTCATAATACGTCACCATGTACATGTACATGCAGGCCTACACCAATATAATTACGACCATCTTGTGCTTTCTGTCCCTTCCTGGACTGGCCACGTGTTGTACAGTTTGAAGGTCAGATTGTCAAATCTATTCTGTTGTATAATTTAATTATACATACTATACCCTTGGGGACTCTGTATAGCCAGACAAAGGACGGGTAATTGACGGATATATCCAAATAATTAGTATCATTTTATACTCAATTGCTGGTTAAAATTATTGGATCGCGGTACAATGGTAGACGGAAGCTAATGGCATTTTACCAGCGCAAAACATGAGACGGTATAAATTAACCTACATAGATTCCCATAACAATGTTTACACGTCATTCTCTGTTTGTTTGTTTGTTTGTTTGGTCTTGGCTTTGTTTTGTTTTCGCTTTATAACTTCTGTTATAACGTTGCCCTTTACTATAGTTTGACAAAGGATGTAAATGATATATTAAAATATGTAAAACGTTAAAATATTTATTTCAATGTTATTCTCCAGTGGTTAACCATTATGAACATTTTTAAAAGAGCCTTTGAGTTATTGAACCCATTTTAAGAGAACAGACAAAGGCAAGTTTATGGAATAGACGCTTGCACGGCAAGTGTTTATGATATACGTGCAGATTATGCAAAGCAATGCTGCGTCTTGATCTCCAGATTCTGACCACTCAACGTGTCTTCGGTAACCCGATGCTGTTTGACAAAAACAAGGCAGCTAGTTGACCAATGAACAGCTTTGGCCAAGTTTCTGCTCTAAATGACGTCACAACTTCTAAAGGCGGCTTCGATTGGCTGTCGCGCGGGTTCGCATACAATTTACACGCACGGATGTATCAGACGTGCGTAGTGTAGACAATAACTGAGGTTTATGATGGTATCAGTAAGAATGGAAACTGCTTACTAAACTTGTATGGATACCAGCATATTAAATTTCGTCTTTGCACAAGCATAAACTTGAACGAGAGTCCTTCAAGATGTGTTTGCGGTCTTAAATTTTTCACGACTTGTGTACCACCGTGAATTTTTGTAGTGTTCTCAAGTGATTTATAACCTTTACCCGGTACTGTTATAATTAAGGAACGTGCAGACATACTGGTAGGGATAATGAACACAAGCTTTGATGGTTTGAACATTTCTACTCTCATGTCATTTTGATTTCGCAGTAAATGTCAAAAGATGACACGCTACACTGTGTAAACATCGCCGAATCAACGGCTCTAAAGTGACGTCTGTTATGCATAATCTTGCAAGAATGAAAGAGGGACGGTCTTTTCTGAGTACAGACCACTGCTAAAAGTCAAATGTACGACAGAGAGTCGAGCCGAAGAAGAATCTCAAGTGTTATCCAACCTCTTGAGATGTCCTCCAAAGAGAAACCGCAGTTCTTAGCATCCAACACTGCACTGCCGTGTACGTACATGAGTAAATTGCCAAAAATCACTGAAGACGTTCAATTTGGCTGATGCCGCGAGAAAAAAAAGACACGCGTATCTTAGATGCGGTACAAGGTGTGCATTTTAATACATGTAAATCTAGGCCTAGTGACCGAAACGGTGTTGGCTACGGCTACGTTGTCGGCATATGCCCACGTAGTGACAACCGTGGATGACCTGAACAACGGAGCCCAAGAGACGGAAGAGATTCAGACGCAACAACCTGAAACGACCGTACACCTTGACGTCACACCACTATTCACGAGTCTTCTTTGCAAGCCACAAAGGGCAGAATACAGAAAAGTTCCTGGACCAGGATCCTGGGGGGCACGCACATGTTTACTTTAGACAATTGCGAATAACCCCTGTGTTCAGACTGCACTTTCTTGACACACACTCACAAAACATGAAATCCTGAGTGAGAATCGAGCTGTGCTCTTCTAACTAAACTAATCAACAATTCCAGCCACTCATAACGTCATTCGCCCGTATAAAGTCCACATGGAATTAACGCTACAATAAACAAAGTTGTGCAACTACGCACTCGCCTGCATGAGTAGCTCATGCTTGTTAAAATGGATCTTCGTATTACCATTAAACAAAAATCAAACGGCCAGGAAACACCCTAAAAGGCAATACGAAGACACAAAATAATGGTATGGTACACAGCGGTACAGTACAAAAAATAATTCAATTAAAACAAATCGCCCCATAATGAGTGTTATTATATTTGCCTGGTCTGGCGACCATTATTATATGGGCCATCGTAGGATGTTGGACTGAAAGTAATTAGGAATGTTCACATACGCGATTTGCAATGGGCCAAGGGACAACATAATACGGGCTGGGACGTTAACAAGCAAGTTTGACAAATTAACCATCACAAACCAGTGTGACTAATCTGACTGTTTGGCCAATGATATCAACTTGAATGTTCTGGTCACAGGAATTGTCCTCTGTTGACCCGTGGATGAGGAAAAGGACTCCCTACTTTGACCTACTGATGGACGATGGTTAGTGTTTGTAAAAGATTGTTATTTGAGTGAAAGTCGCTTACATAGGAACACATTTCTACGGGCCACAGGGCCGAGTTACAAAAATGCCCTTTCTACCCGAACACAGTTATTTCAATTCCCGGAGTATAATATTTCGCTGCCCTAATACAAATTCCGATGAAAACGCGACAGGAGACGAAAGATGAGCAATTCTTGCGTCGGTGGGTCCCCGTATTTCAGACAAAATCGGCGGTTTTAGGGGGTGATATCGGGTTGCTTTGCTTAACCACCGCACAACGAGGTATCTCGGTTTCTGTACTGTGTTGAGTGTTTATGTGCAACGGGAAATTTGAGCCACCTTGCCCGCCAAGTGTTCTCTTCGTACACGCTCGGGGTTCTGAAGTAGGACGTGTCTCAGGCAATGCTGTACTAAGATCGGATATTATAGTAGGCGGGACTGCGGAGTATTTCAAGTGTTAGAATGTTGCTACAAGAGCCCTCTTGAATTTTAAATCCCAAATATCTGGGAAAACTTGAATGTATATGAAAAAAATCGGGTGAGTCATAATCGCCATATGATGAATAAAGACAAGCTTCGATTTCCCCTATTTTTGGTAGTTTACAATAACTTTAATGGGCTGTTAACAAACACTTCTCTACTTAGAAGTGCAGCCAAATGAATTTAAATGAGAGAATTGTTGAATAAAGATAAGGTGGTGCAACACAAGGGGTAAAAATTATGTTCCCCGGATTTTCAAACTGAAATCCAAGACGCAAGATATGCATCTCAGTCTTGTGCATTCACTTCAATATCCTTCATCGCTGAATCTCAAGTTCTCTGGATTCGATCAGATCAATTTCGGCACTGAATTTGTGAATTTCAAATTATATGCGCAAATATAGGGTACTTTTACACGCATTATGAGCACATCATTCAACAACCACGGCATGTGTTCGATCCTAGACGGGGTTTGGGATGTCTGGATGGATGCAGTGAATATAGGCTTGCCTAGCCGAGCTTGACACGAAAGTGTCAGTTTAGGAAATTATTCTATACTCAGTGACTCATTCAGTCATTAAGTCAGTTAGCAACTAAAATAAAGGAAATTTATATAGCGCCAAAATCCGCCTAAAAAGACGCTCAAGGCGCTTTACAAACTTAAAAACATTATAAAATAAATGTAATTTAAAAAAAAAATATACGAAAACAATTTGTAAACATAGAATGATGTTAATATCAATAGAAGGCATTTAAATGTCGAAGATTTACATATTAAAAACAGGACAGACTGAGAGGGGTCCCATTGGGACGGCAGTAAAACAAAATAAACACACAACCCGAGTAAACCAACAAACAATGAAAAAAATGCACTAGAATTACGAATAAAAATGGATAACTGACTGAAACTTAGAAAAAATCTACTATCCCCTTTAAAACAGAAACACTGCAATTTATATACTGACGGAATCCTATAGGAAAACATGTAAAAGGAACCAACCAGCAATATATGTAGTACACACACACATAATGCCAGCAGAGATAGTATACAAACATTATACATAGACATACATATTAGGCCAAAACAAATATTACTTCTGCTTCCGGTTACCCTACACCTACCATCGTGTTTTTTTTGGGGGGGGGGGGAATGAGGGAAAAACCCCGAAAATCATCTATTACTATCCTTTTACCTTGACTACACGCAGACACCTCCATAATTTATGATCGAGTTCACACAAAAAAATGCCCCCCCCCAAAAAAAAAAAATTCCGTACCTATAAAAAACCTACCTACCCTTTTTCAAATGCCATATAATCGAAAGCAGAACTATTTATTTTTGGCCTTACCAATAACAAAAAACCACAGAGACATCAAACGAATAATTAAAACATAAAATAATAGAACAAAAACAGAATGAATGCACCCAC